AGATGGAAAATATGGAATGGGATATATTGAATAGAATATATCAGTGGCTAGAGGGCGGAGTACACCTGGGTGAGTCTTACTATTTTTAACTATCAATTTTATCCAGATCAGTAAATGTTTGTTTTGTTATTTTCATGTACAATGAGAGAGTGCTTGCCAATGACCAACTAAATGGATATTTGAGGTGAATTTGCATTGTGAGACCCGGTTGAGTAAGCCCCAAAAATAACGATTTTACACTTTACTTAAAAATGTGTAGCTCATAAAAGAATAGAGATAATGGGATAATTCAAAAAATGAAATGTTAGAAATACATCTAAGATTACAGGAAAGTGTTTTTTTTATCCAAAATGCCCGTCCCACAGGGTGTTTTGAATTTGTTGATAAAAACAACGTTTTGATTTACACCGGTATAAACCCACCTACCCGAAGAATATAAGCCATTAAAATAATAAAAAATAATGCCAATAAATTTATCTTCACACTGATACTATAATCATAAAAATCGGATTACAAAATAAGAAGTTATGAAACATCAAACTTTTTGGGTGGCGGAATGTTGTGCCGGGGAGTATATTATCAGTTTCCGAATCTGATGATTATTTTGCAATATTTCTTAGTTATTAAAAAATTGGAATTAAAGTGAAAAGTTTCAAAAATAATTTATGTTAAAAAAGTAATTATTATATGCGGTAATGATTGTGGTAACAAAATATTTTGTTAAAATTAATACGTCTTCCAGGAGTAATAAATTAAGAATTACTTCATATTAATTTAAATTTATGTTTTGTTTATCATTTATTAATTTTAAAAGTATATTCGTTACCTTTTAAAGTCAATCGCAACGATATAGCGGGTGAGCTAGATATAAAAATATTTTTATTAGTGTTTTTTAGTGTCATGTTACGGAAATTACGAATATAACAGAAATCGACAGTGATTTTCTTATTTTAAATGGATTATTGTTTTTATTAAAATTAAAAAAAAAATAAATATTTCTGGAAATATTTTCAGAAGTAAGTCTTCTGAATACTACTGTTATATTAATCAATTAAGGCCGCGTAAACAAACATAACAAATACAATTTTATATACTAATTCATTATACTAAAATTAAATAATAAACATATTGTAATTATATTCCTGCAGATTGAGTGAAAAATATTTATATTGTGGAATATATATCAACATAAAACGAAAACAAAAAAAGAAATTTTGAAACAGCTATTTTAGAAACGTCTAGGTTTGCTTATTTCAAGATTTATGAAGAAAAAGTCCTTTGCCTCGGGTACAGATACCGCCACGTTTTGGAAACAGCTCAAAACGAAACAAAATTGAACGCGGCAACAGGAAACGCCAAAAAAAATCCACCCACGTCCTCCCCACGAGTAGTTTTCAGGCGCTTTTAAGAATCGAAAGTAGGTCGAGGCAAACCGAAGTGGGTCAAGACAACTGGAAATAAATCGAAATGCGACAGGGTTGGGCGAAGAAATGCGACCTTGACCTGCTTCGAAGAGTTCTGCGCATAGTGTAGAGACTGTTTATCAATTTTAGAATAATAATTATACAGGGTGGTCCGAACTGTATTCCGGAAACTTCGGCAGCATGTTCTGCAGATAAAAATAAGTAAAAAAGTTCGTATCAATGTATGTCCTAAAATGCTTAGTTTCAGAGATACAGGGTGTAGAAGTTTCATTTTTATATCGAATTTTTCCAAATAATTTATGAAGTAAAGTCAATATTTGGATGAAAATTGGCGTCTGGGAGTTTTTTCACATAAGAAATTTAATGTTGATGTCGATATGACTCCTATTTGTAGGGTGCGCCACCTACATGTGTTTTAACTGTTTTGAAGAGTAATAACTTTTCGTCCGTACCTGTATAAAACTACTGAGTGGAAAAATTTATATTTCCGTGATTTTTTACGTAAAAACTGTCTCTTGGTAAAAATCGCTACGAGCAACCGTTTTCAAGATATTTAGAATGGAAATAGTCATAAAATAAATTTGGGAAATTTTAATTTTTTTAAATTAATCATAAATTTTTCTGCGGAAAAATGATGATAAAACAGTTTCTGTTGAACTTTTGTGTTACAAAAACATTTATGATTTCAGTCTAATAACTATTTAGTCAACATGTTTAATTTGTCAACGGTGACAGGTATTGATAATTTCGATTCAAAATATCTCGAGAACCATTACTCGTAGCGATTTTTACCAAGAGACCTTTTTACGTAAAAAAACATCGTAAATATATATTTTTTTACTCAGTAGTTTTATACAGGTACGGACGAAAAGTTATTACTCTTCAAAACAGTTGAAACACATGTAGGTGGCGCCCCCTACAAATAGGAGTCATATTGACATCAAAATCAAATGTCTCAAGTCAAAAAACTTCCAGACACCAATTTTCAGCCAAATATTGACGTTACTTTAGAAATTATTTGAAAAAAATCGAAATAAAAATGAAACTTCTGCACCCTGGAAGCTGGATAAGAGCACATCACAATACAGAGAAACGAACAGGGTAATTAATAAGGCTATACGTAAAGACACTAGAACTTACAACACGTATATGATAAAGGAATGCATAGAACAGAATTCCAATATGAAAGTACTTAGAAGGAACAGACTCGGAAGCAAAAACAAAATTTACCAACTGAAAGATTCGGAAGGCCACCTAGTCTCGACCACAGATTCAATGCTGACGGTGACTGAAAAGTTCTATACAACACTATACAGCAAGCAAATAACAACAATCAGCGAACCCACTAGACCCCCAGTCATTAATGTTAACCTCTAAAAGAGGAAATTCCTGAAATAGACGTAGAAGAAATAAGGAAAGCCCTGTCCTAAATGAAAAATAACAGAACACCGGGAGAAGACAGAGTAACAACCGAAATGTTCAGATCTGGTGGACAACTTCTACTGCAGAACATGACAGAAATTTTTAATAGATGCATTATGGAACAAAGAATACCAGAGCTATGGCAAAACGCAACAATCACTCTCATTCACAAAAAGGGTGATAACACCAGACTGGACAATTATCGTCCCATCAGCCTGCTCTCGCACTTCTACAAAATATTCACAAAGGTGCTGACAAATCGCCTATCAAACAAATTCGACTTCTATCAACCCCCGGAACAGGCAGGGTTTAGAAGTGGATATAGTACTGTGGATCACCTTCAGGCAGTCCGCACTCTCATAGAGAAAAGCACCGAATACAACTTCCCTATATATGTCGCCTTTGTGGATTATGAGAAGGCTTTCGACTCTATAGAGCTACACGCCATCCTCGATGCCCTACAAAATGCCAGAATAGACTACAGATACTCGGGCATAATATCATCTATTTACAAATCAGCTACAATGACTGTCAAACTGGATGACATAAATATCACAAATAAAATTAAAATGGAAAGAGGAGTCCGACAGGGAGATACTTCCAGACTTTTTTTTCACCCAAACTTTTTACACTGGCCCTGGAGGACGTATTTAAGAAGCTGAACTGGGACAATAAGGGTATTAAGGTAGATGGTGGGATGCTTAACCACTTGCGCTTCGCTTATGATGTCGTTGTCCTGGCCTCATCGTTGGAAGAACTTCAAACAATGCTCGAACAACTTCACCACACATCTGCGCAAGTAGGTTTAAAAATGAATTTGTCTAAAACTAAAACCCTAAATGAAAATGAAGAGCAAGTTAATGTTAATGGACAAAGGATTGAGAACGTTAAAGAGTATATATATATATATATATATATATATATATATATATATATATATATATATATATATATATATATATATATATATATATATATATATATATATATATATATATATATATATATCATGTCATGCCATAAAACTCGGCAAGGAAAATCAAACAACCGAAATTTCTAGAAGGATCAAACTCGGATGGGCAGCTTTTGGTAAACTTAACTTTATATTCAAAAGCAAAATCCCAAATAGTCTAAAAAGAGACGTTTACAACAAATGCGTCTTGCCTGTCATGACCTATGGTTTGGAGACTATGACGATGACGGCACGAAATGTGAACAGGTTGCGAGTGAGCCAAAGAGCTATGGAAAGAGCCATGATGGGTATCAGTCTTCGCGACCACATTAGAAATGAAGACATTCGCCGACAGACGAGGATAACGGACATCGTAGAGAGGATAGCTAACTCTAAATGGTCTTGGGCAGGACACTTGGCCAGACAGTCCGAGGAAAGATGGGCAAAAGACTTCTTTGCTGGAGGCCACGCCTAGCAAAACGCCCAGTCGGCCGACCTCCTAAAAGATGGACTGATGATATCCAAACCGTAGCCGGTAAGAACTGGATGAGGAGAGCACAGAATCGAAACGAGTGGAAGAAACTGAGAGAGGCCTACATTCTGCAGTGGATGAGTAATGGCTGAGAAGAAGAAGAAGACACCCTGTATCTCCGAAACTACGAACCAAGTATTTTAGGACATACATTTATACGAACTTTTTTACTTATTTTTATCTGCAGAATATAATGTCGAAGTTTCCGGAATACAATTCGGACCACACTGTATAATAAATTTTTCGTATACTCGCTATTTAAACCCGTGTATTTTCTCCGATGGTGGCAGCACCGGCGGAGAATGCACCAAGTCTAAAAGCACAATACTCCTCCACCCCCTAACAATTCTCTATTCTACATTAACATTGAACAAGTTAAAAAATTGAAAAAAAAATCAAAATTAAAGAAAATAAACAAAAAAAATTTAAAAGCGCAAAATTTTCAAGTCTAATAATATTTAACAATATTAAGATCTAAAGCTCAGTTCAACAAAATATTTCATAAAAAAATAAACAGGTCAAGGCGTAACACTGTACGGGCACTGAGACATAATTCACACGACTGTATTTTTACCTCCCTATAGCTATTGTGATGACGAAACCGTGAAAATGTAAATTGTGCTCTCTTCACCCTATAAAATATTATAATTGACGCTACCATATTCTCTGTCATTGTATTTCGTATTCTTTTCCAGTAATTAGTACGTAAGTTGATTATTAATTTTGAAAAATCGAAATTTACGGAGGAAACCGTATTTTTTAACCGTCGTCCAAGGTAGTTCGAGCCGAAGCGTGAAATGTAACAGATAAGAATGAAACTGTCATAGAATAATTGATAAATAACTATATATAGTGTATATAATTGACCAAAAAAATGGCTAGTTCAATGGGTGCACTGGGACTTATAGAAGGTAATTTTAATTTATAATAAAATTAATTTATTAAAATTAATATTAAAATGTTTCTTTAAAAAAATATTTTAAATCTAAAAGGTTAAAATAACGATTGATATAAAAAATAATATATAACAATTTATAATAATAAAAATATTTTTAATCATTTTGAATAAAAATGTCTTTTAAATGGTTATAATTTTAGTCCCTGATACTTATTTTATTGACAAATGTCAATGTAACTGATATTTGCAAATAATTATTGTTATCTAGAGGTCTAAATTCAAAATCACTTGTTATCTGCTAGAGTCCAAGAAAATAAAAAATAAATAATACAGGAGTTAAAGGAAGAGCAGAGCTCATTTCAAGTTCTGAATTTCGCTCATTCTCATTTAGAAGTAATTGACTGTTTAAATTTTTTGGTTATAGTGTTTATGTTTTTTTATCAGCGTGTTTTTTTCTATTTTGTAATATTTTCTTTTTTTTGTAATAGTTCTATTTTCATTTGGGAATGCAGACATTTATTATTATTATTATTATACAGGGTGGCGCACCTCATTCGCCTCAGTTGATTATACGAAAGCGGAAAGATGTAGAAACAAAATATTTTATGAGTATACGTGGGGAGGCAATGTGCACAATTTAAAATTATTTTGAAATATACAGGGTGTTTCAGAGCTAAGATCCATACCAAAGTTATATTTTTTCTTATGGAACACCCAGTATTTTATTTCATTTTTGGATTCTTGAGCCCAAAAAAAGACGTTTATTATAAGTGTTAAATATGTTTAAAATCTTTGGTTTTTGAGATATTTAAAGATATTTAAATTTGCATGCTACAATAAAATAGAATATTAACACCCTGTACATTACATTTCTCAGAATTAATTCTTGTGCTAAGTTCAAAGGTAGAAAAATAAACCTTTTTTTAAATTTATACAGGGGTATCAAAAATTGCTGATCTATTTTAAGGATTTATTTTACATAAAAACTTCATTATTTCAAATACAACACCCTGTCTTTTTTTAAATAAATCGAAGCAGATTTAAATGCTCTTTCAAACTATTTTAGGGTTTCCTATACCTATCTAGCTCAGATTTTGAATAAAAAACGTTTTTTAAATAAAATTGCAATCAAGGTGGCTGGTGTCGCCATGACAATTTTCTAGTGACAGTAACTATTTTTAATGTTGACAATAGTTTATGGACTTAATTTAAAATTATTTAAATTTATAGCAGTTTACTTTTATTTAAAATTTATCTTCAATAGTTTAATAAGTAATATTTATTAAATATGTATTTATTATTCTACCAAGGAAAAAGAAGAAGTCTTTGATTTATTTTACAATGACTTGTAGATATATGGATTTTCTTTAAAAGAGTCAATTACGGCAAAATAATTTTCTTCACTTCCAATGACATGTTTCTGCCTAATAAGTTGTTTATAAACCACACTACCAACTATGTCATATAGAACAAGTAGTTTTTCAAAAGAACGCTTATCAGGAAGACTTTGGAAGGAAATCTTTGAGCATAAGCCCTTGAGGCCAAAAAGCAATTTCCCTCACAATATAAAATCACTAGTAACATATCCATTCGTTCCGCCAGCAGATACTGCTTTATTTTTCTTGATAAAATAGTGAATACCTACTTACTTATATTAAACTATTGTAGGTAAATTTAAGTAAACTGTTATAAATTATAAATAATAATGTCCATAAACTAATGTCGACTTTAAAAATAGTTACTAACTCTCACTAGAAAATTGTCATGGCGACACCAGCCACCTTGGTTGCAATTTTATTTAAAAAATCGCTTTATATTCAAAATCTGAGCTAGATAGGTATAGGAAACCCTAATATAGTTTGAAAGAGCATTTAAATCTGCTTCGATTTATTTAAAAAAATACAGGGTGTTGTATTTGAAATAATGAAGTTTTTATGTAAAATAAATCCTTAAAATAGATCAGCAATTTTTGATACCCCTGTATAAATTTAAGGAAACAATAACATTTTTCAGTAAAGTTTATTTCTTTTGGGCTCAAGAATCCAAAAATGAAATAAAATACTGGGTGTTCCATAAGAAAAAATATAACTTTGGTATGGATCTTAGTTCTGAAACGCCCTGTATATTTCAAAATAATTTTAAATTGTGCACATTGCCTCCCCACGTATACCCATAAAATATTTTGTTTCTACATCTTTCCGTTTTCGTAGAATCAACCGAGGCGAATGAGGTGCGCCACCCTGTATACAGGGTGAGTCTTAAATGAATGTAAATACTTTTAGGGCTGGTAGATTTCGATAAAAGAAACATATTATATTCTCTTTACCGTTTTTCAAATAAGTCCAAAATAACCGAGATATTATTATACTTTGAAAATTTAAAAAAAAATATATTTTTCGCTTAAATTTTAGAACCCACTGGATCTTTTCTGGGTTTTATTTCTTGTAAATAATTTAATATACTATCTATGTTGCCATATTATGAAGATATTACTTTTTTTAACTAAAAATTTAAAAAATTTCCAATTTCGTCAAAAACTCAGACGTACATATTTCTGGGGTCGAATTATCCTACCCCTAAAAATATTTGCACTTATTTAAGACTCACTCCTCACCCTGTTTAACAATTTATAATATCTAGAATATTTTAAATCACTTTGAATAAATATGTCTATTTAATGAGTGATATTTCTTGATAATCTCTGGTAATCTATTTTATTGATAAATATCAGTGTAACTGATATGTGCAAACATTGTTATCTACAATATTAATCCAAATATCAGTTTTAAAGGAAAGTAATGTTTATGGTCCATCTGTTGTCCGTCCTTCTTGCCAGATGTCCTATCCTTTGCCATTTGAGGAATTTGATTCTGTGAATGACATCTATTACCTGGGTTTTTTGTCGTATCCATTCTGTACTTTTACGGTCTCTCTTGGTTATGCCCAACAACGGTAAACTAATAGGATTGCTACATCCTTGTACGTTCGCCTCTTCCCGCGCCTCAGCTGACAGTTGTGACGTCATTGTAGTCCTTGTCAAAGCCTTGTTGGCTGTGTCATGATAGTGTGTATTATTAGTTGCCTATGGTAAACTTATAAAAAATAACAGCTGAGAAATTTTGAGTTAATTATTTTGTCAATTTTAAATGTGAAAAAGGTGTCTTTAAAGTTTATAGAGCTATAGAGTGTATAAATACGTTCATTTTGTGTTGTGGATTGTGACAAACTGCTTACTAAGTGCCCACGATTTTGTTTATTAATGATTTTAAAGCAAAATATGGAAGTACTCTAAAAATAATGCTTGCAAAAGGTGATGCTGGGAACTGCTGTTCTTAAAAATGCATTATCCGAGTATTTAATACGATTTATACAGTTAATTTTCTATACTGCATACATATAAGGTGTTTAAATAAATAAACTAAATAATGAACGTTTTGCATTCGGCAACCAATAATGCACGTGTGTGTATTATTGGTTGCCGGATAAGGACTAATAACCATGACAAGGACTACAATGACGTCACAATGCGAGTAGTTTTCGCATGCACCTGGCGGACACTTTTGGCTGAATGAGCAGTCCTATTATGTTAACTGTTCTTGGGTTATGCCCAGCATATTTCGTTCCAATGAGCGTTGTGTACAACATGCAGTTTCCTTATAATGTCTGTTTTAAGTATCCAGGTTTCGTATGCATAGGTCAGAACTGATAGTAGACATTGGTCGAATGTTTTCTTCTTTAGATAAAGTGGTATTCTAGATTTGAATATGATTCAGTTTCTTCTATAAGTACTCCATGCTAACTAAATTCTTCTGTTGATTTTTGGTAGTAGAGATCCCGAGCTGTGTATTAGTTGTCCTAAATATATTTATTTACTATTTCCAGTGTTGTGTTATTTATCAGAATGTCTTTTCTGTCTACTAGTTCGTTGTATATTACTTTAGTTTTTGCTAAATTCATTTTGAGACCCACTTTATTGCTGGCTGTATTTAGTTCGTCAATTTATACTTGTAGTTCTTCAAGAATATTGGCAATTAGGACAAAAATATTTAAAAAGTAATAAATGTATAACAGTTTTTAGAATATCTATTTAATGGCTGATATTTTCATCCCCGATATACAACTATTGATATCTGACGGGAAAAACTGAGTATTGATATTGGTCTGTTTATATAGGTGTATTTTGTTTATGTTGCAATTTTTCTATTATTCATATCATAACGGTGAAACCAGTTATATATTTCCCAATTAATGTTTTTCTCTTTTCTCCTTACAAACTATTGGGAATAATCGATTTTAATTCCATTTTTATTCAAATTACTTATGTCTTCATCGATTGATTTATTGGTTCATGTCGTTTTAGAACCGTTATATAAAGAAAACATGGTATAAAATGATACCCCATTAGGTTATCTATTTGTCTACCACAAAGTAGTAAATTTTATGGCTGACTAACAAGCATTATTTATGTATTGTAAATATTATCTGTTTTAAAAACGTGTACCTAATTATTAAAAAAAAATATATCGTCAGTATAACATTATTACGTAGAGCCAAGTGGCGCAAAAACGATATATTTTTCAAAATTTTTAGTTTTTTCCTTAGTTTCAACCATTTAAATACAAAAGTATTTACTCTACAGTATGTCCCCAGATTGTCTTTACAAGAGGAAAAACTTTTTTACTATTAAGATTTTGAGAAAAATGCATTCTTCATAAAAAGATTAATCCCGTTTATACTTTTCCAAATAGAAATACCGTTTTTTAACGAAAATTAAAGAAAACATGAAAATATCGTTGAATTTTTTGATGTCCTAAAAATCAAAACGCGTGTCTATGGTAATATAATTTCGTTTTCATTCTTTGATAGATCGTTATTGATAGAATTTTAATTAACTTCATATTTTTTGCTGCTTTCAAATATTAAAGAATTAAAAAAATATTTAGTTCAATGCTACGGAAAGGGTGATAATAGTTATTGGAAAATGTAATACTTTAACAACAGCAAAAAATATGACGTTAATCAAAATTAATAATACTCATCTATCAAAGAACGAAATCGAAATTATATTACCTTAGAAACGCATTTTGATTTTTGGCACTTTGAAAAAATTCAACCATATTTTCATGTTTTTTTTTAATTTTCTCAAAAAGATTATGGAAATTTGGAAATGTATAAACAGGATTAACCATTTTAGAACAAGCAAATTTTTTTATGAAGAATGCATTTCTCTCAAAATGTCAATTATAAAAAAGGTTTTCCTCTTGTAAAGACAATCCGGGGACATACTGTATACAAGGCATTTGGTGGTAACGAAACTATTACAAAAGTTCATCAACGTCATCATTCTCAGCTTATTTAACCATTTCCAAATATAATTTAGCCTCCCTCGCATGTTTAGATACTCTCTTTGTAGTTAGGTCCATTGTGTTGTCTATTGTTTCCAAAAGTTATTTACTTTAAACCAGGTATCTGTGTAAGATACAACTATTTTGTTTGATATAACATTAATAATTTCATTGATAAAGATAAGTAGAACAAAGAATGAAAAAATACTTTTCGATATGTTATACTTCTTCAAATATTAAATGGAAAAATAATAAATGCAAATAATGCAGGTCTTATTAATTAAATCATCTAAAAGTTCAACCCAAATCATTGAAAAATTATTAATACTGCATGGTCGAAAAAAAAACGGCCTGAAAAACGGCTTGGGAATGACAATCGATGATAATTTTGGCGAGGTCAATCTCTAGACGTCATTTACTGAAAATTGACATAATAACTTGTCATAACCCAGCCGTCTTTGAAGCTGTTTTTTTCGATCGTATGGCATAATTATTTAGCAACAAGATTATAATAATTATACACTCAGATAAACGCATTGGAAATTTTTTTCTTCTATTTTAAAATGTTGTAGTTTTTTTATTTTTAGCCCTATTTTCATAATTTTTTTAGCAAACTGTATATAAATATATCAATTTAATTCGTAAACTCAATTTATTATAAACTTTATTATTTGACTTATTATAGGTCAGGGTTAATCGAAAAGTTGTTTTTTACCCTATCTTTAAAACATCCTGCGCAATAATTTCGGGAGCAAATTTTCCTAAAACGTTGTTTTTCGGTCAGAACCACGTCTCCTAAATATTTTGTTTTTTGACTCATGTCAACACATGCCTTGATTAATTTATAAGAGCAAAATGAACTTGCCACAAATGTTGCAATTTTTTCAATTATCGTTACTTTTTGATGTTATTTTTCATTATGACCAGTTGGCTTTGGTGATTATTGTTATGTACGATTGAATATGGTTCTTAGTGTCGAAGATTGTGCGAAAGTCATTGATCTTGTTGAAAATGGCCGAAATTATGAATATTCGGGTGGTCCTTAAAGAAGAATAGGAAAACATAACACTATATACCTATTTGCAGCCCCATTAACAGTATGAACCGATGTCTACAGACAGTTATAACAGCCGCGGAAGGCAATACAAAGTATTAGAGTTTTCATTACAAGTTTTATGTTTGTACACGTATTTATATAAGTTATTTTTTTTTAATATCCTTAATTCTGTTATTGTTAGTAATATTAAATTTATGAAAACCAAGCCTGTATCGTTACTTTTTCACGTTATTTTTTAATTTTAATATAGACTTCTAATCAGTGTCGATATGACATTACTACAGTAGTCACATATAAATGGATTAGTGTTACGGTGCAAGAAGGTTCTAAATCTTATATTATTAAGCGTCTCTCCCATACCACATGGAGGGCAAGTACGGAAATACTTACCCAACTCTATAAAACCTTGGTTCGTTCAATGATAGATTATGAATATTCGGTTGGTCCTTATTAGTGATATTAAAAATTAACATCATAAAATAATAAAAAAATTGCAAATTGTTGGTGTCAAGTTTATTTCGCTTGTAAAAATTAACCAAGGCATGTGTTGACATAAGTCAAAAAAGAAAATGCTCAGGAGGCAAAGTTCTGATCGAAAAATAATGTTTTAGAAAAAGTTACTCACTTTTTATATGTATATCCTCAAAACTAATATTTGTTTCAGACAGAAGAGTTACAGGATGGTTCCTAATGTCCAGTGTTTGGCCAACGCTTTATCTCGCTCTGATCTATTTAGCTTTAATATACGGACTCTTACCGACATACATGAGAGACAGAAAGCCTTTCAAGCTAAACAGAATAATACAGGCGTATAATATTTTTCAAGTAATCGCCTGTGTTTTTATTATATACTGGGTAAGTTTTTTCCTAAGTAATAGAGTTACAATGAATAGAAAGACTAAGCAAGGAATATACTAAAACACTAGCGTGTACCCGCGACTTCGTTCGCGTCGAATTAATCATTTGTAATGGTGATGATAAAGCAAAGCAAGAATTTCCATTAACATACAAACTGGATAAAATTTTCTCACATTTATGTCAGCATGAGAAAAACAATATGGCGATATTATTATATAACTTGGTAATATTTGAGGGGCAGTTTCATCTCGTTGGAATTTGACTTTCGAAAAATCCGTTTGTCAAAAATAAGCTTTTTACGTCAAGCAGTTTAAGCAGAATCGTGGTTAATCAATTACCCAACTTTTTGGAACACCCTGTATGATTTTTTAAAAAATTTCAAAATGTGTAAAAAACAAAATAAATTATGCGTGTCCAAGCGTTTTCCCGAAAGACTAACCGTTTTTTAAATAACAAATATTGTAATATTTGAGGGGCGTTTTCACCCTCTTGGAATTTGAGATTTAAGAAACCCCTCCTTATCGAAGCTCTACACCCCACAGTCAATTAGTTTGCCAAAAGAGTTTTTCCGAAAAACTCACCGGTTTCAAAATAAAAAATATTCTAATATTTGAGGGGTGGTTTTACCCCCTTAGAATTCGAATTTCGAAAAATCCCTTCTTATCGACCCTAGTCAATCCCTTTTCCAAAAATCAGCTTTTTACGTCAAGCGCTTTAAGCAGGATCGTAATTAATCAATGACCAGATTTTTCGAAACACCCTGTATACATTTTTAAAAAATCTTAAAATATGTAAAAAAACAAAATAAAGTGTTTAAGCGTTTTTTCGGGAGTTTTTTGGCATGAGAAATTTGATTTTGATGTCAATATCACTCCTACTTGTATAGGGCGCCACCTACATATTTTTTAACTGGTTTGAAGGCTAATAACTTTTCGCACGTACCTGTATAAAACTAGTGAATAAAAAAATATACATTTACGACGTTTTTTACGTAAAAGAGATCTCTTGGTCAAAATCGCTACTAGTAATAGTTCTCGAGATATTTGGAACCGAAATTATCAATACCTGTCATCAATGACATAAATTAAACATGTTGACTAAATAGCTATTAGACTGAAATTATAAATTTGAAATGTTTTTGTGCCAAAAGTTCAACAGAAACTGTTTTATCATCATTTTTTTCGCAGAAAAATTTATGATTAATTTAAAAAATAAAAATTTCGCAAATTTATTATTTCAGTCAAATAACTATCTACTCAAGGGGTTTATTTTTTGTCAATAATAACATGTATTGACTATTTCCATTCTAAATATCTTGAGAAAGGTAACCGATTTTTACCAAGAGACATTTTTTTACATAAAAAATGGCGGAAATATAAATTTTTCCACTCAGTAGGTACGGAAGAAAAGTTATTACTCTTCAAAACAGTTAAAACAGATGTAGGTAGCGCCCTCTACAAATAGGAGTCACATTGACATCATAATCAAATTTCTCATGTCAAAAAACTCCCAGACACCAATTTTCATCCAAATATTGACGTTACTTCAGAAATTCTTGGGAAAAAAATCGAAATAAAAATGAAAATTCTACACCCTGTATCTCCGAAACTAAGCATTTTAGGACATACATTTATACGAACTTTTTGGCTTATTTTTATCTGCAGAATATGCTGCCGAAGTTTCCGGAATATAGTTCGGACCACCCTGTATAGGGCGTTCCATTACAAAAAAAAAACAACGTTCATATGCTCTTAAAATTTAATTTTAATACAAACGTCGTATGAGAGGTGCCACCCAGTATATGCTGAAACCCGCCCACAAAAAATCTTATGTAATTCTTCTTTTTTAGATTGCAACGTCAGGATGGGTCCAAGGAAGATACAGCTTTGGCTGTGTACCATTTACATATCCAGAAGATAAGCAAGCTATGTCACTACTAAAAGGGTTTCATTTGACATATTTTTTGAAAGCAATTGAACTCATAGAAACGATATTTTTTGCCCTAAGAAAGAAGTATAGTCAGATTACTAAATTGCACGTCTATCATCATGTATCGACTATGCTATTTGCTTGGTTTGGATGCAAATATACTGGAAGTATGAACATTTCAAATATAGTGGTATGCCAAAATTTTCGCGACTAATGGGACATATTTTTCATTCAGTTATCGAAAAAATTAACGTTAACGTTAATTATAAACCACTATAAATTAATTAATAATATTAAATATATTATTAATTAAATATTACTAATAACACTATGTTTTTATTTTTTAACCCAGTGACTGCGGTAATTACTAAATTTGACGTTTAGGCTACACAGATTTTTTTCACAGGCAATTTTTTTCTACAAAAATTTTTTGTTTTCTTCTTAAAAACGGTTAATGTTCTGGTATAGAGTGTTTAATATCAAAATTTATAAATTTTACAGATAATTTAAGTATGTAATAAAAAATGGTGGTATCCATTTAAAATAAGATGGTAGCTGTCAACTTCCGGTATTTCCGGAAGTGCCGCCATATTGGAAATATTTATAATCAATAGATCTCATTTGTGTGCAAAAAATCTCCGATCAAGATATTGTAGTTCTCTAGATACTTTAATGAACGCTGAGCCTGGGACACCCTGTATATCACATTTGTTTTGAACTTTTTGGCATATACTGTATATACTACATAACAGTATCAATAAACATCTCTTTTTTAGCTGCAATGCCATCGTTACATATAATGCTAAATTCTTTCATACATATACTGATGTACACGTATTATTTTTTATCGTGTTTGGGTCCAAAATGGCAGAAAAGACTTGTTCACTGGAAAAGCAGATTGACTATGGCACAAATGGTAAAAATGTCAATTGTTATTTATTATATACCTAAAATCAATTTCATTTTTAGGTCCAGTTTACTATTTTGATTATTCACATTATGGTTGGACTGCAACCAAGTTGTCCCACACCAAAGCTATTTTTGATGATGTACCTTCCAAATGTCATATTAATTTTCAAAATGTTCTATGACTTTTACAAAAAATCGTATACAATAAAAAGCAAATGATAGCAAAACGAGTTTGTTTTCTTTAGGCCTAGAAATTGATTAATGAAGCTGTAACTATGTGATTATAGTGATTTTGTAAATATATTTCAACATGAAAAATATAATTAAGTAGAATAAAACAGAACGTTAATTAATTTAAAATTTATGAGGCTTATTGTCAAATACTGTATGATCGAATAAAAACGGCGTCCAGTTGGCTTGGAAATGACGATCGATGACATTTCCCGTATAAATTTACATATAAAATGACAGCGATCTTCATTTCATAGCCATCGCTGACGCCGTTTTTATTCGATCATACGGTATCATTTGTGATACTAACATAAAATTCCATATTTTCGTCAATTAGATTATTATTATTAGAGTATACTAGATTTTATGTGCTTGATGTGACTAATTCAGCTTCAAAAAAACATTTTTTTAGTAGTTTTTGTAACATCTTCAATTAGACATACTACATTTAAATATTCCAATTATAAAATGGCCAATTTAACAAATTTTAGTTCAATTTAAAACATCACCTATTATGCACGTCCCATTACAGTTTTGTTGAAACTTGAAAGCATTGTTGCTAAGAGAATTTAATTCTCACTTTGAATGGAATATTTGGTGGCCTTTAAAAATGAACAGAAACAGATAAATGTGGTACTAGGTTTCCTTACCAAACAGTAATTTTATATGTATGTGTACAGATGTGTAGTGGGCAACCTTGTACTGAGCATAACGTAGATATTTTTACCAATTGAGAAAAAATAAAGCTATAATATTCCCAGCACAAGTACAAAAATAATAAACACCCATTAAAGATGTTTTAGAGGTTAAAATTGGATTACATTAAATTGACTTACCGTATAATAGGACAACAGACCCGAATTATCGTCTAAAACAAACCATCTATACTGCCATCCCTTCATCACATTGGTCCATTTGCTCAAAGAACCCTCCATTACTGCCATTTTAAAACAATAAACTTTTTTTAATAACAAATAATAGATTATCAATTTTTTAACTAGAACATCATCCGCTAATGATTTAATGATGTTGATGTTTAAATGTCAAAATGTAGCTGTCAAATTTTGTATTTTAAATGTCAAGGACTTTAGGGACACTATCCTCATATCGAAGTTTTGAATTTATATGATTTGTATCTATCGATATTATTTTTTCCTTTTGATATCGATAGTTAGATAAAAATATAAAATAGGCATTCTAGAATTTTCTATAACAAAACAATTATGTAACAAACAATTTTTTATAGTAAAAAGTATGTAAAAAGTTTGGTATATTTGGTTTTACAACTGTAGAGTGCCAGTTTTTCGAATATGTAGTAGGTAGTTCTTTTGGACCAGCTTGTTCATATCCGATACATCACTAGTGGTTCTGTGTCATTAGTAGGAATGGCTTATTTTACATTGAAAATTGTAAAAAAAAAATTCTTTTTCAAAAAAAACTAGATCTTTTCTGGATTTTCTTATTTGGAAATTTAATCTACTACCTATGTTGTCATATTATCAAGAAATTATGTTTCTTAACTAAAAACTAAAAAAAAATCCAAAAATTTTTCAAAAAATTCCAAATTTTCAAGAATATTTTTTTGCGAAAAAAACTCTATAATCGTGTTTCTACGATTGAAATATACCACTTATACCACCCTTCTTCCACCCTTAAAAATATTTGCACTTATTTAAGTTTCATCTTGTATATAAGTATATCGATATATTTTAGAAAATTATATCGATATATCCATTGTACCGTTGCGAAAAAAAACACATGTTTTTTTCGATGTAATGCGTAATGCATCGTATGGATCTCCCTTAGATTAACAAAAAGGATCTCCTAATCTAAAGTATGGATCAATGAGGTATGGATACATCAATATTTGTCGATACATCGAAAAAAAATCGTGTTGCGATGCATTAAATCCAATAACTTATTAGTTTGTACAAATATTATTCATTAATTTGTAGTTACAACTTGATGGGTGCATGGATGAAATACTAACACAAATGTTTATTTTCAACTGAATAGCATAACATTTAAAGAAGGCATCTATTTTCTTTGAAAAAGGCTAGATATGATACATGCAATAGAAATAGAAGCAATGCATCGAAGCGAAAATATCGATGTTTTCAATTTATCGATGTATTTCAGACAGCCCGGACAACCGGGACAGCCCTAGTAATGCAGATTAATCAATAATCTGTGGGTGGCAGGCGGCAGAATGGCGGCAGAGGTGCTTGGTGCTTTGCTTTTTGTGGTTGATTTTGATTATTTCATCCATATTTCATCATTTTCGATTTTGCAATTAATCTTTTTAATCATAGCAGATCGGATCACATATTTTAATTTAAAGTTGTTTGATCGGCTGGTTTGTTGGTGGCTTATTGATTATTTCTTTCTGGTCCCTTGGAATTTTCATTTTTTCGGATGTATTAGGTATGTATACAACACTTATTAAGTTGTAAAACAAGAAAAAAATAATTTCAACACAAAACACACTATTTTCATTGCAGTATTAAACTCTGTCGAGTATAAAAAGAATGTAATACTAACCTTTATACCTATTTCAGGTTTTTTAATTTGTTTTTATTTCAATCATTAGTTAAAAACTCAACAGGGATTTTCCTTATTTCAGCAAATGTGATTTGACTTTTTTTTGATTAATTACTTGTTTTACCAGTCTTACTGAGATTTTACCATCTCATTATTAATGAAAGGAGAATTTGTCTGATAATAATCTGTAGTTGTATAGTGTCTGTCGTTTTTCAACAAAAGTTTAGCAAGTTTTGCGTTTACTCCTAGTTTATTCACAATCTGAGTATCTGTGTTCTGAACAATAATACAACACCGTGCTTGCCACAATTCAATTGAATGAACATGGAATGAACCGTATTCTAAGCTGTGAATCAAATCTCACGACACATTTTTAATACTCGTTCAAATGAATGACTCAAAATTGTTAGATACACAATTGTTTTATTTTAATGGAACAAATTTTGCAAAGAGAACAACAGTTCTGTAATTAAAAAATAAATTCTAAATATCCAAAATGTAGTAAGAAGAGAATTTTTTTTATTAGATAGAATTCGGAATCTGAAGAACATATAGAAATGGGACAGGAAAATAAATTATCTTGATGAGACCTGGATAAATTCTGAATATAGCTGAAATATAGATATATAATTTGGTGCCCTCATCAAGACAGCCTTTCTTAAATGGTCTTTGAACAAGCTTAAACAATCTATCAGGTAAGTGATTTGTATTATCATCAACTCGTACCATATGATGGAAAAAATGGCGTCAAAGAGGGCTTTAAAAATAATTTTTACTCCATATAATAATAAAATACAACCTTCTTAAGGCCAACTGGGTGTCTATGTTTTGCTAAGTGCTTTAACATTTGACTTTCACAAAAATCAAGAAAAAGCAAGGGAAGGGTGAAAACTACCACCAATCCTACATAAATTTTAGTATAAATATTTTCAACTAAACTGACGACCGATTTTTTTTTGTAAAATGGTCCAATGGCCCTTCTAGTACTTACTACAATTTTTGTTGTAAAAAACCGCATAAAAGATAAAAATATATTTTTCCGAAGCTGACTTCCAAAATATGTTTTTTGTCACATCAGATTATGCTGGTGCATAAAATCTATTATGCTCTAATAATCTAGTTGGCGAAAATATGGAATTTTATGTTAATATCGCAAATTATAATTGACAACAAGCTTCATAAAAATCTTTAAAAAAATTAATTAACGTTTGGGTTTATTTTTGATCGATGCCCTCTAGCGGACAAATGGAACACTTTTGTATAGAGGTAAATTGTGTCCAATGAACTTATTTTGATTTTAAAAATACATAGTAGTTCTATGTAAACGGAATATTAGGACGCTGTATAGAGGGTGATTCTTAAGTAAGTGCAAATATTTTCAGACCTGGGTACCTATTCTTGATCACTCGTTTCTCTTTACCGTTTTTCAAATAAGTCCTAAATAAATAACAGTTATTTTAAATTGAAAGTTAAAAAAAAAATCTTTTGTGGGTTTTCTCTCTAGCCTACTACTACAGAATATCTAGCTACGCCACAGAAGCCTCGTTACTTGTATAAAATTGTAGGTAGCAAAAGGAGACAGGCTTTAAAAGTCTGTCTCCAAATCAGATATTTTGATGTGCTAGTTTCGCTACTACATAATAGAGGGCAATAAATTTAAAAGAAAACAGTTTTCTACAAACAAAATTTAAAAGAATTTTGTGCAGTGTTGCCAATGTGTAATTCATATCGTAATACTTCCTGATAAAGCTTACCTTCAAATTTGCTACATCATTTAAACATATTAAAATAGATCAGAGCTGTTTTTCTCAGTTTGCCATGTTAGTTGGAATTAAATCTTATGAGCTAAATTACAATCACTTCCTGACGTTTGATTGTATAATTGAATCCTGAATTTTCATTGTAATTCGGCGACAATATAATAAGTATTGTTCTACTATTATGATACCACTTCCTGACGTTCGATTGTGTTCATACCAAGTTCATATTGTATAATCGGGAAAAACGGCGTTAGCGATAGCTATGAAATTAATATCACTGTCATTTTATATGTAAATTTATATGGGAAATGTCATCGATCGTCCTTTTCCAGCCAACTGGACGCCGTTTTTTTCAGAAGCATATCAAGTGATACCATAATATAGTACTATATTACGATACATGGCGTTCGATTGGATTTAAACTTGGTATACTATATCTTCAGTGACATTGTAATATCATGGTACCATGGAGCATGTAAAGTGGTACCTTCTATAGTACCATATTTGATGACATAGCAATATTAGGTACATGGCGGCAATAGGGCTTAAACTTGGTATACTACGTATTTTCGGTGACATTGTAATATGATGGTACTATGATGCATATCATCTGGTACCATAATATAGTACCATATTATGTACATGGCGTTCGATTGGGCTTAAATTTGGGATACTACGTATCTTCGGTGATATTGTAATATTATGGTACCATGGAGCATAACAAGAGGTACCATAATATAGTACCATATTACGATACCATTTCCTGGCGTTCGATTGGACTTAAACTTGTTATACTACGTATCTTCGGTTACATTGTAATATGATGGTACTATAATGCATATAAAGTGGTACCTTAATATAGTACCATATTTCAATACCATTTCCTGGCGTTCGATTGAGCTCATATTTGATATATACTTGCGTATTTTTGATGACATTGCATTATTATGGTACCATGAAGCATATCAACTGGTACCATAATATAGTACTATATTACGTACATGGCGTTCGATTGGGCTTAAACTTGGGATACTACGTATTTTCGGTGACAATGTAATATGATGGTACTATGATGCATATAAAGTGGTACCTTAATATAGTACCATATTACGATACCATTTCCTGGCGTTCGATTGGGTTCAAACTTGGTATACTACGTATCTTCGGTTACATTGTAATATGATTGAACTATGATGTATATAAAGTGGTACCTTAATATAGTACCATATTACGATACCATTTCATGGCGTTCGATTGTTCTTAAATTTGGTATACTACGGATCTTCGGTGACATTGCAATATTATGGTACCTTAAAGTATATTGAGTGGTACCATAATATAGTACACTATTATGATATCATTTCCTGGAGTTCGATTGGGCCCAAATTTGGTATACTTGCGTTTCTTTATAAAGATTTGTTTAATTAATAATTTTAATTTATTTTACGAATTTTAATTTATTGTTCGATGTCGTGACAGCAACTTTTATGCCGAACTAATATATTATTAATTGTACCTGTGTCACTTTAAAATCTACCTAGGTCTATATAAATAACGTGGCAAACGGAAGAAATTTGTTATTATATTATTTTTTAGTCAGTTAACATTTTTTGTACTGCATTTTAATAAATTATTTCCATTATTATTAAACTTATATTTCATTACTAACGTTCCAGCATTAATAAATATCACTATCAATCGCCCTGTATATTATTAATTTTAAAAGTAATTAAAGGTATTTTCATAGTTAACATTATAAGGTATAGTGTATATTAAAAATGTATATGTTTTGTAATAATATACTTAAAACTATTTTAATAGCCAAAGGAATAATTAATATAAGTGTATCTGACAAGAAAAGAAGAATAGAAAGAAACACATACTGCATTATACACAATAAAAAGAATGGGATGCCAATTCAAGTCTTTTTGAATCTGGCAACTGTGCATATTTAGCCGAGCTATAAGGCCGTCGACGAGCCGTCGATCCAAAACCGAAAGTTCAAAATTTCTAATTATATTCTGATTATATTGTCGCGCCATCTAGTATTCTATTTGTGCAATTTTAGCTCTTTCATTTCGAGTATTTTTCTGTTGCGTAGCTAGATATTCTGTGCTACTACCTATGTTGTTTTTTAACTAAAAACTAAAAAAAAAGTCAAACAATTTTCAAAATCCAAATTTAAAAAAAAATATTCGCGAAAAAAACCTCGTTAATCGTGTTTTTAGAGTCGAAATCTACCCCTAAAAATATTTGCACTTATTTAAGACTCACCCTGTATATGTTAAGTATTTTAACGTACCTAGTTCTTGTTATATATTTATTTAACTGCTTTCCTTCATTCTGTTTAAAAGGTAATACTTTCTAAATATATGAAGAGCACTCGGAAAAAGTTCATTTTTAGGGTTCTGTTCCCAAAGGGTAAAAACGGGAACAAACTTGACCAATTTTTTGTTAATTTGATTTTAATGTTAATGCATCATTTTTTTCGTCTTAAAAAGCTAAACCTTTTGGTACCTAAATAAACGGGAATATCGATATCGGTCACAGAAACGCATTTAAAAATGGAAAAACCCATAGAAGTCCATGCGTAATTTGAACTAAAAAGCGCTCTCCTGAACATTTATCGTTTTTGAGCCCTCTTCGTTTTCTAAAGTCATAAATTATTCGCCGGCAATTAATTTATTTTTGTTTCCTAAAATATTTCGATTAAAAGAAAATACGTAAAAGTGGGCAACGCTGTGCCGGTCAAGCTTAATCACGTGACTAAAAGTTTATTTGGTTTGAACTATAGATTTTTTCCAAAAATAAATTCGCCACAAATGTATCAAATATATTTAGTATATTAAAGTGTTACCTAATATTTACAGCCATCACAAAATGATGTATTGTCTGTTTCTTCCCCAGTTTATGGACTTGAACCAAACAAATCTGGCGAGTATCACGAAGAAATGGATGGGAAATCAATTTGACTAATAGTTGAAAACTAAACTTAGTAGTGCAAAAATAACCCTTTAGAGTTATTTTTTTACTCTAAATATTGTCACATTTTAATGTATTATAATTAGTTTGTAGACCAATAAATAACAGATACTTGTTGAGTTTCATTCAAGCTGAAAGTCACAAAATGAAAATTTTGCTGATTTTTAGTGTGATTCCCCCCCAAAAAAATGAAATGAAACCTTTGTATCTAGATCAAGGGCATGCACACGATGGGATCAGGTTTCTGTTGTGTTTTTATTTGTGGGATTATTGGTCACAGCAAAGACTACAACATGTTACATGTTCGCCACATACCTAAATTTCATCACTCTCCCGGTTAAAATTTTATATAGTTAATACTATCTTAAACGTCTAGGAGAGGTATTGATTTTTAAGGAACGGCGTAAAAGGGTAACAGATTGTTCATTTATTTTTACAGGAGTACAAAGAACTTCCATAGGTAAAAGGTATCTCTTGTTGCGTTTATAGGTTTTTCAGGGGTTCGGAAGGAGCGGCATCTTTGACTGAATAGGCAGAGAATATATTTGTCAGCGCCTGCTTGGTTGGCAACACTAATGATTGGTTTCGTCATTGGCTCATCTAATAAAGATTATTTCAGCTGTGATATTTTGGGAATGCTACATGGACTGTAGACTCTTCCTAAATGAAAAGATAAATTTATCAACTCGTAATGGTAAAATAGTTTTTTATGTATGTCATCAAACATGTTTATGTAAATTGCTTTCAGTTGTACATACGCAAGCAGTACATACTCTCAGCAAAACCTCTCAGTCTTGTAAATGTAGATACATTTCAATAGCAGCTATTGAAATACAGCTGCTGTATATTATGTGTACATTTAACAACTTCCTATACCTCCCTCCCTTTTGTACATGGTATTTTTGGTACTGGATCTGGTTTGGTTCATGAAGTTGCATCTGTTGAGAACAGTCGCATCTGTTGATATATTGTTCAATATCTTGATGTATCAATTGTCATCATATCTCCACCTCTTGCTAATAGTTTTATCTTCACTATTGCTTTACGTTGTGAGTGGAGAAGTTTTAATATTTTGTCTTTTAGTGAACTTCAGGAAGTTTCATAGAAATTGTATAAGTTTGATTGATTGATAAATTATATTCTGAAGCTTTATTGTTCATAAATTATTTCTGAGTAGTAGTTCAAAGTGTATTTTGTTTTCATATATCTATAATTGCGTCTTACTTATTCTAGGATTCAAAATAAAAAATAAACGTTTCTTTATTACCTTTAATAGTACCCGAACATGAAAAAAAGAATTGTAAGTTGAAGCTGCATCTTGACTTTCTGACCATCCTGCTGATATGCGTTTTACATTTATAGGTTTTTCAGGGATGCGGAAGGAGCAGAATCTTTGACTAAATAGGCAGAGAATATATTTGTCAGCGCCTACTCTTGTTAGCATATCTTTAAACCCACGAGTTAAAGTTAAAGTTTAACTCGAAATTACTCGTCTTACTTGTTCTAGGATTCAAAATAAAAAAGCGTTTCTTTATTACCTTTAATAGTACCCGAACATGAAAGAAAATTGTAAGTTGAAGCAGCATCTCGACTTTCTGACCATCCTGCTGATATGCGTTTTACATTTATAGGTTTTTCAGGGATGCGGAAGGAGCAGAATCTTTGATTGAATAGGCAGAGAATATATTTGTCAGCGTCTACTCTTGTTAGCATATCTTTAACCCTACGAGTTAAAGTTCAACTCGAAATTACTCGTCTTACTTTTTTCTAGGATTCAAAATAAAAAGCGTTTCTTTATTACCTTTAATAGTACCCGAACATGAAAGAAAATTGTAAGTTGAAGTTGCATCTCGACTTTCTGACCATCCGCTGATATGCGTTTTACATTTATAGGTTTTTCAGGGATGCGGAAGGAGCAGAATCTTTGATTGAATAGGCAGAGAATATATTTGTCAGCGTCTACTCTTGTTAGCATATCTTTAACCCTACGAGTTAAAGTTCAACTCGAAATTACTCGTCTTACTTTTTCTAGGATTCAAAATAAAAAAGCGTTTCTTTATTACCTTTAATAGTACCCGAACATGAAAGAAAATTGTAAGTTGAAGTTGCATCTCGACTTTCTGACCATCCTGCTGATATGCGTTTTACATTTATAGGTTTTTCAGGGATGCGGAAGGAGCAGAATCTTTGATTGAATAGACAGAGAATATATTTGTCAGCGTCTACTCTTGTTAGCATATCTTTAACCCTACGAGTTAAAGTTCAACTCGAAATTACTCGTCTTACTTTTTCTAGGATTCAAAATAAAAAAGCGTTTCTTTATTACCTTTAATAGTACCCGAACATGAAAGAAAATTGTAAGTTGAAGCTGCATCTCGACTTTCTGACCATCCTGCTGATATGCGTTTTACATTTATAGGTTTTTCAGGGATGCGGAAGGAGCAGAATCTTTGATTGAATAGGCAGAGAATATATTTGTCAGCGTCTACTCTTGTTAGCATATCTTTAACCCCACGAGTTAAAGTTCAACTCGAAATTACTCGTCTTACTTTTTCTAGGATTCAAAATAAAAAAGCGTTTCTTTATTACCTTTAATAGTACCCGAACATGAAAGAAAATTGTAAGTTGAAGCAGCATCTCGACTTTCTGACCATCCTGCTGATATGCGTTTTACATTTATAGGTTTTTCAGGGATGCGGAAGGAGCAGCATCTTTGATTGAATAGGCAGAGAATATATTTGTCAGCGTCTACTCTTTTGTTAGCATATCTTTAACCCACGAGTTAAAGTTCAACTCGAAATTACTCGTCTTACTTTTCTAGGATTCAAAATAAAAAGCGTTTCTTTATTACCTTTAATAGTACCCGAACATGAAAGAAAATTGTAAGTTGAAGCTGCATCTCGACTTTCTGACCATCCTGCTGATATGCGTTTTACATTTATAGGTTTTTCAGGGATGCGGAAGGAGCAGAATCTTTGATTGAATAGGCAGAGAATATATTTGTCAGCGTCTACTCTTGTTAGCATATCTTTAACCCTACGAGTTAAAGTTCAACTCGAAAAGATTCAAAATAAAAAAAAGGTTTAGTCACACTATTAAGAGTTATTCTATAATCATTAATTGCTATACTTGATGTTACCATGATCTCATTCTCATGTGTCTTAACAGTTGTCTCATTTGAACTTATTACTTCTACCTTAACATTAATACTAGCTAACAATTGACTACAAGTAAAGACTTCATAAGTCGTTCCAGAATTAACTAATATAAGCTAAATAACCAGCACAATCGCAAGTTCTCTTACAATAATTCTTGCCTAAATTATTATCTAAATAACTCAAGAGTGTTATAAGTATCCTCCGGCTTTAAGTCTTCACAATATGTTTTCTTACATGAACCAGTATTTCTACACTCTTTATGAGAAGCACACTTGGCCTCAAAATCTGCAATATAATATAAACTATTCTTGATACACTTTAACTTGAAGTCAGTTGGTGTTGTTCTTATAGTTTTTAACTTAAAATCTGTTTGTGTAACTTCAAGACAGCTAGTATCATCAACATGTTTATGAGTGATTATGGTATCATAATTTAATTCACGGAAACCCTGATCAACAGTTGTACAATCAGTTGATTTAATTGGGATTATTAGTTGATTGTTGCAACTCTGTGAACTTCCCATTGATAACAGAAAATAAATCACTATAACGGTTATAGTAAAAGTTGGTGGTTTTAAATAATGATACTTCTTGTTCTTCATATTGTTTTCAATAATTGTTTCATCTATTAACCTGGCTTCAACATCATCATATTCTAAATTATTAAGTTCAAAGTATTTATTTTTCAATTTGTTGGTGGATCTCAATCTAAGTTTTTTTGAGAACATTTTGGACGAGTTTTTTTAAGAAGATTTAGCAGTATTTTTTTTGAGCCGAAGTTTTGAGCAGTTTTTGGTTTTTATGAATAGTTCCGTGAAGGTTCCCTGTTGGAGGCTGGTGTGAAATTGACGAGTTTTCCCTTTTTATCAGCAACAATTCCAAGTTTCATTTGTAAATTTTCAATTTCAGCTTTATGAGACGCATTAGTTGTTTTAATGATGTTTGTTATATTATTACCTCTTGTTAGAAAGACATAAACTGCTAAACCCAGATCTTTTTTGGTAATTCTCTTATTGATGAGAGCATCAACAATTTTCCTAGCATCAAATCCCATATATTTGACTCCTTCCCTATTTGATCTAGAAATTAACTCATCAAGAGAAAACTCTTTCAGAAAATCTTCAGCTTTCAAGATAGCCATCGTATAGGATAAGCTATATTTTATGAAATTTATTTGAATATCGAATCAGTGTGCGGTCGACTATGTGTTTAGACTCAGAGACTCATGTGTTCAGAGAGTATTATTATTAAAATATTTTAAACATCTGCAAACAATTTATCTGCAAAACTGCTGGCGATATAGGAACAAATAGACAGAAAAACTTGTTTGTTAAATGTGTGCATCAATAAATACCACAATGCATAAAACTATATTCGAGATATTAAAAAAATGAGTGGAAAGTGACTGTCTAGGGTCGTCATTTTTTTTATCTGGAGAGGGGTAATGTAGCAGCCTAAAATAATTTCTTATTTTTGCGCTACATCTAGCAGAATTTAAGCAAATAATGCCCATCCCTAGTCGGTATCGCTGCAATTTTGGTAGTGCCGTGAATGCCGTTAGATGTGGTGGTGCAGGGTTGCCGTTTATATTATTATTTAAATTTTTCTTTAAATGTTATTAATAACTTTCCTGAAGTTTCCTTATTTCGAGCACAGTTTGGTGTGTATTTACTTTTTGTCGTCAGAAGATAATCTCTGGCAGAATTTTAATATTTTATTCGGATTTTTCGGCACTTCCATTTCAACCACTGGTGAAGTCCCAGGGTGGTTCTCGTCTTCTTTGAAAAGTTTTTTGGTACATCGTATGTGGCGGAGAATAGCCCTGCGAGTAAGTTATATTTTTTCTTTTACTTTCTTTCATATACTTAGAGAAAAAATCATTTATCATAGGTGTATCCCTTACCAACTTAAGGGGAAGATTTGACAATTTGGGAATTTTTTGGAGTAGATTTTGGGAGCAACTTTCGGTTTGGAAACGAGAAGTTCTTTTGAGAACATTTTGGACGAGTTTTTTTAAGAAGATTTAGCAGTATTTTTTTTTTTGAGCCGAAGTTTTGAGCAGTTTTTGGTTTTTATGAATAGTTCCGTGAAGGTTCCCTGTTGGAGGCTGGTGTGAAATTGACGAGTTTTCCCTTTTTATCAGCAACAATTCCAAGTTTCATTTGTAAATTTTCAATTTCAGCTTTATGAGACGCATTAGTTGTTTTAATGATGTTTGTTATATTATTACCTCTTGTTAGAAAGACATAAACTGCTAAACCCAGATATTTTTTGGTAATTCTCTTATTGATGAGAGCATCAACAATTTTCCTAGCATCAAATCCCATATATTTGACTCCTTCCCTATTTGATCTAGAAATTAACTCATCAAGAGAAAACTCTTTCAGAAAATCTTCAACTTTCAAGATAGCCATCGTATAGCATAAGCTATAATTTTATGAAATTTATTTGAATATCGAATCAGTGTGCGGTCGACTATGTGTTTAGACTCAGAGACTCATGTGTTCAGAGAGTATTATTATTAAAATATTTTAAACATCTGCAAACAATTTATCTGTAAAACTGCTGGCGATATAGGAACAATATCGTGTGCATCAATAAATACCACAATGCATAAAACTATATTCGAGATATATCATTAAAAAAATGAGTGGAAAGTGACTGTCTAGGGTCGTTATTTTTTTTATCTGGAGAGGGGTAATGTAGCAGCCTAAAATAATTTCTTATTTTTGCGCTACATCTAGCAGAATTTAAGCAAATAATGCCCATCCCTAGTCGGTACCGCTGCAATTTTGGTAGTACCGTGAATGCCGTTCGATGTGGTGGTGCAGGGTTGCCATTTATATTATTATTTAAATTTTTCTTTAAATGTTATTAATAACCTTCCTGAAGTTTCCTTATTTCGAGCACAGTTTGGTGTGTATTTACTTTTTGTCGTCAGAAGATAATCTCTGGCAGAATTTTAACATTTTATTCGGATTTTTCGACACTTCCATTTCAACCACTGGTGAAGTCCCAG